GGTCCCGGTAGATGGGGTCGGAAGATCTCGCCGCATCGCCGATACATCGGCGATGCATCGGCGATGCGTCGGCGGATACGTCGGCGATGCGCTGGCGGCGTCGGCGATGCATCGGCGACGTCGGCGTGGAGAAAACTGGGCCCCACATCGATCCGCACCGCCGAGGCATCGCCGATGCACCGGCGACGCGGCGCGACCCTCCGACCCCACCCGCCCCGACCTCCAAATCTATAGGAGGCCTGTGGATGAGCGCGGGGCCGCGACGCCCAAAGCGTGGGCGCGGTTCGTCCCTCCCTCCTTCAGGCGGGCCAGCTCCCGGGCGTGCTCGCGGAAGGCCTCGGCCACCAGGCGCTCGAGGCCGCCCGCGCCGGCCGGCGGGGCGCCGCGGGGGCTCGCTCGCCCTCGGGGCGCCGCCGGCCAGAGGAGCCGGAACTCCTGGTGGCAGTGCAGCTCCTCCTGCGGGCCGCGCCCCTCCTGGGGACGCGCAGGAGGGGACATGCTGGTGCTGTGCGTCCTCCGTAAGGAGGCGCGCGCCCGACCAGGCCATGACGGCGCAGCCGTCTTGCAGTATATATCTCTTAAGACGAAGGCAGGGCGAGGACAACACCGGTGAGGATGCATCGAACATCTCCGAGATCCGGCTGCTCTGGAGGATGTCTCGAGCGGCGCGGCCTTCTCAGAGCGTTCCGGAACGCCCTGAGAAGAGTTGATCCTCGTCCTAGCCCCATCCGAGGCTACCCCGGCAGTATTGCCAGAAAGCGCCCCCCACCACACATCTACTGCAAGATTTCTGAGCACGCGCGTCGCCCCTGTGGGGGGCGTCGCACAACAGGGCTCGCGCCAAACAGCGTCATTCGTTTTCGTTTTGTTTTCGTTTGCCTTCGCTCTCTGGCTTCGTTCTGCCTTTGCTGCAAACGAAATCAGAACGAATGGCCAAAAAACACCGTTTGGCTCGAGCCCGTTCGCACACATAATATAATTTGTTTGATTCGGCACCAGAGGACCCCTAAGCCTTTGGGAGGCGACCTAAGCTAGGAGGGCCAGAAACATCAGGGATCGTGGGTCTCGTCTGCAGATGTGCCAAGCCAAACCGCCAAGATCTACGATCCCAAATGCAAGCGCGGGGACCTCAGTGAGGCCACGTCTTCACTATGTTATGAGGGTTAGGGGTTCTTTTATCCTCGATGATGGTTTGGGTGACGCCGGCTCCGCGCTGGAGCTGGCGGGCGCGGCGAAGCTGGCGCTGAGGCGGGCCGGGGCCGTCTCGGTGGGGACGCCGCGCGCGGCGAGAGGCGAGAGCGGCGCGGCAACCTCTGGAGGCTTGGAGGCGGGCAGCAACACCAACACGGGGCCTTGCCTTCAGACGAAGCCAGGAAGAGGAACAATTGGGCGAGGATAAATCGCGAATATCTTAGATCTGGCGGTTCTTGAAGATGTCTCGGGCGCCGCTGCTTTCTCACAGCGTTCCGGAATGCTCTGAGAGCGTTCCGGAACGCTCTGAAACGGATGTATCCTCGTCCTAGCCCCGCATGACCAGGGGAGGAATCGACACGCTGTTCAGAATCGAAGCGCTCGATGGTTCGGACTCTTGTCAGAAAACGCGTTCTTCAATGCTGTGAGGGTATTGCCAGATTTCGGACACCCCTGCGTCTTTGCCAAGTATCTCATACAAACATCGAAGTCCCGCCGACAACACAAGCACCGAAACACTAACTGTCACTTTACTGCTGACGAGTCTTGTGTGGGAGGCCCGGATACTACCACCATCGCTGGCATCGGGGTCAGCTTTCCACGGTGGGGGCACGCCGCCGACACAGGTGTTGATGTCAACCTCCAGGCCTCCGAGCCCTCGCCACCCTCGCGGAAGCCTCCAGTGGA